AATCACTGTGATGATCACTTCTGTTCGGCTGTCAATTAACTGGCCAGAATTTAATAGATTCCCATTTCCGAGTTCGAGTCCAACAAAGCCATGAAACTGTGTCACTGCATTTGTATGGCTGGCATTTAATTGGTGGTTCGGTGGGTGCTTCGCTTTAACTAGACAATCGATCATGTCGTTACAGCTACTGTTATTTCCACTTTCTTCATCGAGTACTGTCGACTGCATAGCACCTGACGAGTCAACTGTACCTGTAGCTCGTCAGTTTTCTGGACTTTTGTGAGGGACTGGCGCAGAGACAGCGTTAACCCCAGAGGCGACTGGGGCCCCTCATTAAAACTACTTAAGTTGCTGCTACTTTAGCGACTTCAACTGGGAATCTCTGGAGGGGACCTTTGCCGTTCGCATTTAATTTGCAACAGGCATGCAACAATATCATTTTTCAATTTTAACTGTAAAAACCAACACGTTATCCACGACGCTGTAAACAAATCAATTTACGCAGCAAGGACCACACTAGACTCACGCATGGCTTGAACTCCGATTTCAATTAAGCCCAACGCTCCACCTGAAAATACAACGGCCAACCCACAGCGATGCCCAGCGGCAACTAGAGATGGTAAGCAAAAAATGCCTAAAGATATATTTTTATAAACTTTTGTATATATATTTATTATATTATTAATCTAAATTGCATTCAATAAACTGAGGCAAAATTTAGTTTGTGCACTTACTGTATAGATAAGAGATTATAATAAAATTTTCACAGGCATATGACTTGATATTTTATGGGATTTTTGTCTTGTGTTAATTTTAGACTAAATAGGAATTTTTATAGCTGCAAATTATATTTTCTTTAACCTTTCGCTCGCTTACTTGCAAAACATCTCTTCGCCCAACTCCTGCTCCGTTTCCTTTTCCTCTCATGCCTTTTATCGTGTTTCTCAGCACGCAATTGATATGCAGAGCACGGCTTATAGTGCTCATCTCTAACCCAAAACTGCGAGCCGAGCACTTGCTTGAGCTGCGACTGAAACCCATAATTAAAAAATTTCAACTTTGTCTGAAATTAATTTTGAATACGCTCGGGACAGACAAACACTTGACTTGACTTGCTTTTGATGACGCGCCGACGCCGCCGCGTAAATTGCCTAGGCCCCATCCAAAGAGGTCTCACACATGAGAACCAGAGCTGCTGCTCCTGCGGCTGCTCCTCTTCTAGCAGCTAGGAGGGAGAGTGACGCGCGGATTAAGTTGAGCATTCAAATTGAAACTGACAGTTTGGCTCTAGCTCTGACTCCAACTCCAACTCCAGCTCTGACTATGACTCCGACTACAACTCAGAGTCTGACTGCAGTCAGCAGCTAAGCAGCTAGTATGTTGTGTGTCCTGCGAGAGCTGGCTGCCCATAAAAGTGCCAGGGCCCATTTGAGAATCTGTTACTTTGTTCGCACGCACTGTAAACTGGTAAAAATAGTGCCAAAGCCATAAAACGTGGTGGCTGGCCGTAAAGCGCATATCGAATTATATGACGGCATAAATTCAACAGTTCCACAAGTTTGATTTCCACGTTATCTTATCGTGAGCCTCTTTGCCTCACTGACTCACTTGACTGGGCTCTTGCATGCCAAAGGGGCTAATAATTAATTGCACACAAAGGCTAGCTCAAACTGCAACCACGGCGATCTGCTGGCTGCTATTTGCATAGTGCACAAAACAAAGCAACAAATTAAAGGCGGCGCTAATTTAATTAGCTAAAAGTGCTAATAGTCACAAATGTGAGGCGGAGCGGGGCGAGGCGAGGCGAGTCAAGTCGAGTACTCGTATTAATGTTGTGTGTTTGGCTTTGTACTTCAGTTTGAGGTGTTGCTGCTGCTGCGGCGGCTGTTTGCATTCACTAATTGCCACAAACAACTTGAGGAGGTGTTGGCTGTGGGCCGGACGACTGCCGGTTACGCAATCAGGTCAGCAACATCACGATTTTCATGTGCTTGCACTTGATGGACACTTCAGCCAAACAAAGCCGCCTATTCACTTGACAGAAAGAAAACATAAATATAAACTGAAGACTTAGGGCACGAACTACACCACAGCACACTGTCAGCCATCAAATTTATGTTTGGTTGCTTTACGAGGCTCTTAAACTGATATGCTTTTACTTCCTCATAGGGTCAAGAAATCAAGAAGAAATGTTGCCCATAAAGACCTAAGCGTTTAGCTTCTGAAGGAGTTACGAGACTATTAAGATCAAGTTTAACAGGCACACATTTTAGTTTTACTGGTTTAAATTAATTTACGTCGATTTTATTTCTTATTGTTTTTCCTATGATAAATATCATTTATTTTAATTATTTAACTCAAAGTTTTTATACATGTATTTTGATTCATTATTTTGTATTCATATAAAAAGGTTTCCCAACTCTGAATAATTCGTAATATTTTTTATTAATTTTTAATTTTAATTTAAGAAAATATAAAATTCATCTTTAACAGCTATTTATCTTAAACATAAAAAATAAATGCATTAATATTATTACACCTGCATAATATAAATGTCTCTAATTTTATATGACATATGATGCAATAATAACATAAGATTTTTAAAAATTTTTTTAATACTAATTTGTATTAATATTTATATT